AACCCTCAACCCTAAATCCAAAGCCCTACAGCCTGAACCCTAAGCCCGACACCCTGATCTTCTGGGTCTGATTCTGCGGTGCCAAGAATCTGGAACGGGCGGGTTTAGGGTTTAGGGTTTAGGGTTTAGGGTCTAGGGTTTAGGGTTTAGGGTTTAGGGTTTAGGGTTTAGGGTTTAGGGTTTAGGGTCTAGGGTTTAGGGTCTAGGGTTCGGGTTTAGGTTTAGGGTTTCGGTGGCAGTGTCGTGCTCATTGGTTGTCGCGGCTGGGGTTGTTGAAGCCTAGGCCTACGCCCTAAACCCTGAACCCTAAACCGTCTAGATTTGGTCGTGATAGTCTCGCTCCGAATTGTTGCAATCTCTGGCGTGCCTACGCTCTCCATTATAATTCTTGTTTTGGCTTGCCTTACACGATCCTAGAAAAACCCGGTGAAACCAAGAAAGGCAGCTACAATGGAGACGAAAGGTCAGGTTTCGGTTCATTCGAGTCTGCCTCGCGGGGGACGGAACTGCGTGAGCTGCAGACAAAGGATCCGAGCACGGCAAAGACAAGTCGAACAAGTCTCTGTATCAATGCCACAATATGTAAATATAAGTATAAATATAAATATAAAAACAGATATACACATATGTAGGTATATAAGTACAAGTATGAATATGAGTGTAGGTATAAGTATATATATATATATATATGTTGCAAGTAACTTACGGAACATGTGAAGGAGAATGCGGCACCAATTATTTGGGTCTTCAGGTCAGTCAGAAGGTTCAACAGCAGACCCTACCGGAAGAAAAAGCCCGGGATCGGCGGCTATTGACACATGCGGAGATTTGACCTCATATACGGGCCTCATGAGTTCGACGAGGTTTTGGGGTAAATCATGGCACAGAATGGAAAGGACTACGAGGGCAGTGTGCGGGTTTAGGGTTTAGGGAGGCTTCTATGTTATTTCCAGTTGCTGGGAGTGTCTCGCGGCCCCTGGGTCCAGAGCCCTGGTTTAGGGTGAAGTTCTAAACTCCACAAACTAAAAGCTCTTTAAGCTCTAAAATCTAAACTCTATAAACTCCATAACCCTTCCAAGAGGGTCCATATGTACTACTGTTCTGGAATAAGGTCCATCAACACCCATTGTAAAGATGCTCCTTCGGGACCTACTTCCATAAGTTATGGAAGTAGGTCCCGAAGGAGTAATGTATATGGGCC